AAACGAAATTCGCTTTGACTTGTAGCTTTCGAAAGGTGATTCGGGCGCTCGCATTTAGTGGTCTTGAAAAATTCGACAATTCATTTTATTTCAAAACTCTTGGTATAGTTTGATAGTCAGCTCTATAAGCTTTAATTTGATATAGCGGTTTAGGTATCTACAGCTTAAACTGCACGCGCTACATCGCTTGCACGCGAGACACCCCTGAAGGTATACTGTAACCTTAACTATACAGCTTGACAAAAGGAGCGACTCTCGAAGATAACTCTCCCTTTTGACTGGTTTTAAAATCAATATTTAAGAGCGGAAGTAAAACACCAGCGACTTGATTGAACTGCCAGTCCAATATATATTCTCGCTTCCCGACCGTTCGCTGGTCAAGGGGAACGAAATTTCCCCCGGAAGGGGAACTCCTATATAAAAAGGACGGTGGTGCTCGTCGAAAATTTTGAAAAGAACCTGTAAGAGGTACCAAGATACTGTCTTGTGGGCGTGGCTTGAACTTTGTTCACCCCAAAGAGGTACCAATTTTAAACCAACACATAAACTGGCACTGACGTCACTGACGTTTTTTTTAACCCCTAGAAGGTACGACAAGCACCGCCGTCTTTTTATATGGGAGTCCCCCTCGGGGAAATCTCTGGGTGCGAGTTTTCTCCAAATTGCACCCAGAACCACACAGTATGGAACGACGTTTCTATGCCCAGGTTTTGCTTTTTATTATAATTATTGCTTACACCATTGGAATCTGAAATAATGTCACGAGATGAGCAAAATCAGCAAAGCAATAGGCATTGATTGAAATAGACTACTATGGTTCAAAGTACAGAGAGGTCTATCACTCTGTCCAATAACAAATTACACAGACAATCCAGTGAACTAATCAAAACTACAAGCCAATACACATATAGCAGACGCAAAGCGGGGAAAACATGCACGAGCGATGGCTTCCAAATTGTTGCAAGAAACTCAGCATAGTCTCGGGGATTTTTAGTTAAAAATACTGAAGATGAGTCAACGGAGGCAACCGGTCTTGTCATGAAGTGGGACTGTTGCGTTGTGATCCCAATAAAGAGCGAAATTTGGAGGCGCACGAGGAAAAAAATGTCAAACTTGTACTAGTAATACTTAGATATTTCCATTTTTTTCGCAAAACGTAGGTAAACGATAGGGAAGTTATCTATCTATCACCGAACATCCAAGAGCGCTAAATCCACGTAAAGTGATATCAACTGCCAATAGCACTATTTTTGTTCATTCTATGACTTAGCTTGCGCGTTCGCCGGCGATACATGACGCAGCGTGTGAATTGCCTGAGCGCGCGAACGTCCTTAAGCCCTCCCATGCCTCCTTTAAAACCAGAAAATAGATTTAGAGTTAAACCATTAATAAACGTTTTTAGAGTGATCCTTACACCATAGTTATTATGTTGTCAGTTAAGTTCTTCATGTCTACTAGTTGATTCGTGATTTGGAATAAGCCAAAACCTCTCAAAAATAAATGCAGGGGGCTAGACTGATCTTTTAAGGTAATTTTCACAGACCGGCCAGTCACAAACACCTTGAACTCCTACGTCGACTAGAGCAAGGGTTCCAATTTTCCAAGAAAACACTTTATAAATTCTCTGGGAGCACTTCCCAAGATTGTCTTTTACAGGTAATTAATTTTACACAAAACACTGACTAGGAATTTCAAATTTGGAAAGAAAGCAGATAGTGTTTATAACTGTGGAAGGCCAAATGAAATCCAATAAGTCAAACTTTTATTA